GATGCCGGGGTCCTGCGCCAGGGGGCCTTTGCGGTGATTCCGAGCTGGCTCGTGAAAAGTTGCCCGTGTAAGGCATCGTGCGAGCATGTCATAGAAATCTCGAAGTTGGAGGCAGTCAGTAGTTTTGCTTGGCTCATTCTCAAGTTTGTTTCGTTCATCCTCAAAGTGTTCCTCCGGTCGGCAGTGTTTCCGTCTTCGGTTCAGCACCTGTTCGAGTTTCGGTCTTGTCTCTTCTACAGCAGCAAGGTAGAATCCCCGCAGCCACTACAACATCGAGCATGACCATCAGGACCGCAACGCCTGCAGTGGGATGACAACTTTAGCTCAAGCGCTGTTCCTGCACTAGTTGTGGTAACCGTGATCGGAACACCAAATCATACGCGACAAGAGAAAGCCCCCCCGAACTCCCCCGAAGGTAGAAAGACTCGAGCCCCAAGCCGACAAACACCAGCTCACAAGACATAAGCAGGCGTCACCATGAAGACGTAGGGCAAAGCCAAAGCCGCAAACCTTAAACTCCACATCCTACGCTTTAAACCCCAAGCCTTACACCCGAAACCTCGAGTTCCTTCCAAGCAGAGCAGTGGGAGAAGCTTGCCCATGTCGCGCCATGCGCGGCTGGGGGTTCAACTCCCCGGGGCGAGCACGAGGAGGCAAAACTCGTCGAAGCTCTGGGACTTTAGGGTTTACAGTGGGGGTTCAAGGTTTAGGACTTTCGGATGTAGGGGTTTAGGGGTTTGAGGGGTTGGACTTGATTGTTTAGGGCTTTCGGGTTTCGAGGTTCAGGGTCTAGGGGCAGTGGTTTCGGGTTCAGGGTTTAGGGTTGGAGTTTTTGCTTTGAGGGTTCAGGGGTTTTGGGGTTTGGTTTGTTCGGTTTATGGTTTGAGGTTCAGGATTCCTTGCCACTACCCTAAACCCTAAACCCTAAACCCTAAACCCTAAACCCTAAACCCTAAACCCTAAACCCTACCATGGGTAGTGTTTTGATTTTGTGGTGGTTTGTCGAGAGGTTATGCTTACCCCTGGCTTGCTATCATCAGCATTATCGTCATCCCGTGGATATCAGCACAGTTAGCCTTACAATTTTTCCTGCAGGTCTCTCGTGGTTTTAGGTAGCTCGATTACCTGCGTTATTCGTGTGATTACTTGCCGGATTGTCGTAGTCGTTCCTCCTTCGCATGGAAGGTCAGGCTTAGGCTTTGCAGGTTCTGGTTCTTCGTGAAGAGTTTGCGTGGGCCAGCTGCACAGCATGAACCTCACGTTCAGCTGTCAGCAACCGTAGCCGCACGATTTCCTGACACAGATGCGGCGTTTTAGGTTTGTTGATCTCGACTTGTCTTGTGAACCAGTACTGTTCGAAGACCGGCGGATCAGATCTGAAGGTATGCACACTGACAGAGCATCTCCGAGTAGCACTGCGAAGCCCTAGAGCCCCAAGCCTTGACCCTTCTTCATGCCCGGACACCGAACTCAGAGAACTGTCAGTCCCAAGCCTTGTAGTGCAAAGAGCCATTTTCATACCGATGTAAAACACGGCAATGGTAGTTGTAGCAATGGTCATGATATCTGTGAGATGTAGACGACGAAGCGTATAAAGTTCAAACAAGAAAGAATAATGGTACTAGTGATGCTAGTGATCGTACTTTAGGAGAAAAATACGGTAGCTCCACGACCTTGCTTGGTTCCTGGAAGTCTGCTTTAGGATCCCCGCGGCCCAAAACTCGCGCGAAGCCCTCTGAGCCCGGCGATGGAATGGGCTCCCAGTCACGGTTGCTGTTCGAACTTGGCTCGAGGGTTTGTCAGTTTAGGGTACATGGGGTCAGGCTTGCTTGAAAAAGGTTAGCGGTTAGAGTCCTTGCTTCATTCTGCTTCCGGACCAAACAGGGTCTGTTGTTTGGGTTTTTGCATGTGGCAGTATCTTTGGGAAACATGTGATGAGGCATCAACTGATTTCTTGAGGGTTTGGCAGCTGAACAACCACGTGTGCAATTCCAGCTGCGCCTGTGTTGTTGCCTGTCGACTGTTGCCACCAAGCCAGAGCGAAAACTTGACCACGGATGCAAAAGCTGCACACCCCAAGGCAACAAACCGAATCATGTCCGTTGCCTCAGGAAAAGCCTCACCTTCCACGAAGGCGAAGGATAAACGGTCCGGTTCCGGCCCCTGGGCTAAGGTTTCGATCGGAACGGGGTGAATTCGCGACAGGCTCATTCATTGAAAGTCTAGTGGTCATCGGCAACCTTGGAACTTTAATGGGCATCTCTCTCTTTTTTCTTTGTGTTTCTCTTCTTCTACTAGTACTAGTAGTAGTAGTAGTAGTAGTAGTAGTAGAAGTAGTAGTAGTAGTAGTAGTAGTAGTAGTAGTAGTAGGAGCAGTAGCGTCACTACATTAGTAGGAGGAGTGGCAGGTCGTAGCTGTTGCAAACTTTTCGGTACCTTGATGGTGCCGTAGTACAGTCATAGCAGGTCTCAATACTTTGTGTTTACAAAACGGTGAGAATTCGATGTGATACTGCGCAGTTTTTTGGACGTGTGAGTCGCTGTGTCGAAGCACTGCGCGCATTGCATCCTGTTCAGCTGAGGTAGCGCAGCTTGCGGTGCCTCCCAGGAGCCGGTTTGTAAGTTTTCGTGTTTCAGTGCTTATCGAAACTGTTGTTGAGCATTGTCTTTGTTGTGGCTGTCGTCATCTCCTTTTGCATCGTCATGGTGGTGGTTGTGCTGCTTGTCGTTGGTGGCACGGCGTGGGGAGTGCTGGCTGTTTCGGCAGCTCCACTTGTTGATATACTTGGCTCATGGAGAGCCAACCCTCACGGACCTTGCAAGCAAACAACGACCCCATCAGCTCCGTGGACAGGAGCACCGAAGTCGTGGCCGTCGGCGGAGTCGCGTGTCACCGGCAGACCTTATGACTTGGGATTTCGCAAACCTGCAAACCAAATTCTAGATCATGCGTCGTGAACCTCAACCTGTAAACAACCGATAGCTTTAAACTCAAGCCCAACCCGTCAACAACTAAAATTTCCTGAGCGGCTTTCGTTCGCACCCTGATAGATGCTGCATCAGACAACCTATTTAACAGTCTCGAACACTTCACACACCTACAAGACCTGCCAGGCTTCGCGGCCGCGGCGACGCACCAGGCACTTGTCGGAGTGGTGCAGAGCTGTCCAAGACACCGAGCCACTAAATCCAGAGTTTGTACTATACTATACGGTACTAAACGATACTATACGATACTCACGATGTCATATGATGCTATACGAAGATATGCGATGCTATGCGATGCTATTCGATGCTATACGATGCTATGCGATGCTATTCGATGCTATACGATACCATACGATACTATTCGATACCATACGATGCTATAGTGCACTATACTGTACTTTACTGTACTATGTTATATTATGTCATGTCATATCATGTGATGGTACATCTTACCATCTCAAGGCAGCTTCGTACGGTGCTTTGCCGAAGCCGTGTAAGCTCTCGAGGCTGAGAGCCGCGAGGAGACTGAAGAACTCCTTTGTTTGCGGCTTCTTTTGCAAACGTTTAGTGTTTAGGGTTTAGGTTTCGGCGGCATCAGGTGTAGGACTATGAGCCTGAAAACTGTGCCATGCTGGATATTGAAGCCAAAACCTTTTTCGAGTTCCGGAGGTCCCGCTCTTTCAAGGCTAAAGCTCCCGTTTCCCATGAAAGCTACATACCAACCTGAGGATTTTTTTGGTGGTGAGAACCCTGAGGCAGCTTGCAGGTCAACAGATGGTACCCAGAGCCAGAAAACAAGCAGTGACGGCCGCCCGTTGTTGGAAAGAGAAAGCCGAGTACTGAGATGGGCTCCGCAGCTGACAGGATAGAGGCACACAGGCAAGACATTCTGTCCGAAAACCCCGCGAACGCAATTCTTTGTCCTGAGCCGAAGCCTTAAGCCCAAAGCCGAAACGCCACCGTAAACCAAACCTTGCATGCGATTCCTGCAGCGAAACCGGAGGTCCGGCGAAAAGAAGGACCGCTCAAGGCCGTGCAGTGGGGTGTCAGTGCTGTTTGTGTGTCATGAGACAAGCCAATGGACTCTTTGTTGTTTTTCGGTGTGGCCACGATACTTGAACGGATCGGCAAGATGCATGTGTGTACGTTCGTAGGCCAGCATGCGCTCATTCATTCAATGAACCAGTCAATCAACCAATCATTCGTTCATTCGTTCACTCGTTTATCCATTCATTAATTCGTTCATTCCACGTTCGCCAGTAGTACCCTTTTTGCTCTTGTTCTTGTTAAAGCTGAATAGCAGGACAAAGTGCAACCTTACTTTATATGGGGACGCGGTGACAGCGAGAACTCGCTTACACATGAATGTATCCATGTGTCCATACATACATACATACATACATACATACATACATACATACATACGTGCATACATACATACATGCGGGCATACATACATGCATGCATGCACACATTCATATCTACATACATTGCCTAGATACATACTATACATACATACATCCGTACATACATACATACATACATACATACATACATACATACATACATACAGACATGTATATGACACACATATACATGCATGCCTGCCTGCTTACCTACCTACCTACCTACCTACCTACCTACCTACCTATCTACCTAGATACATACATGCATACATACATGCATACACTACATTCATACCAGCATGCACGGTGTTTAGTCACTGCTAGTCCGCAGACTGAGACTTTGTTCAAGATGGTTGCTTGTATTGCATGGCTCTTGAGCCTTAATGATTCGGCTTCGGTCAGCTACGCAGCATGTGCTCGACTCAGCCAGTGTGGTTCCACATGTGATTGTTCTCACTACTATTGGGATGTTGTCAGAGTAAATGATCACTCCTTGTCTGTTTCCAAGACTGCGCAAACGTGCAAACATTGTCTGTTGTGGAACGTTTCCTTTGTTGTGTGTATGATGTGTGCCATGGCTCCATTGTATGTTTCATGATGAGAACGATGGTGATCACGATGGTGGTGATGATGTTAGTGCTTGCAGAAAACGCCGGGTAGACCTATGTCTGACGATCACTTCGTTTCGAGTGTTGCTATCAAATTGTGTAGCCATTCTCGTTCGTCGCACTACTGTTCTTATCCGTCCTCCGATCCCATACCCTACGCCATGATAAGCCCTCCCTAAACCTGGAACCCTAAGCCCTAAATCTGGACTCGAAATTTGGAGGCGCGGTCCGAAGCGAAGAAGGCAAAGCACGAAAACGGAGAAGCCCAGTGCCGAAGCTCCTGAGGTTCCTTGTTTCCGTGCTGGGGGGTCTGTCAGGATCTCAAGGAGAGTTTGTCCTTTGAGGGTTGCAGGGCTTTAGGGTTTTGCAGTGCATTTTTGGCCGCTTTTGTCGATGAAGCTGTCAGGACCAGGCTGGAGCGCAGGATGCACCGCCGGAGGAGCGCTGGCTGCGGGGCTTTCTTCGAAGAGTTTCTGCGCGGTCCCGGCAGGACGCAGCCAAGGCCTCTCAAGATCGCGAGTCGGATACGGAGGTGGCAGATCCCGACACGGATACCGAGGCCAACAACATTCGGCAGTCCCCCCGATCCCCGACGGTGGTGAGGGACGTCCGTGATCTCGAGACGGCCATGGGCAAGGACAAGGAGGACCTTGAGGTCCGTGGGCCGCCTGCGGACGGCTCCAGCCAAGATGGCGTGCAAGCTGCCGAAGCCGAGGAGAAGGAGCTTCAAGCAGCTTGCGGTGCAATGGCAAGGGCTGAGTGCCGAAGAGTTCAGCAAGTTGGAGCTGGATTTCATGATCAAAGTAGGCGGAACTCAACCTTGAAGTCTCACGCCGTGGTCTGCGAGGGTCTGTGTGCATTGGCGACAGGAGTGTGGTGTTTCGAAGAGGCGGAAGAAGAAGGTGGGCTCGATTCTGTTCATGAGCCTGGACGAAAAGGTTGGCAAGTTCTCATCCAGGATGGAAAGACGGAGAAGAAGCGCAAGAAGAAGGTTGGACTAAACTGGCCGTGGTGACTGTCCAGTGGTATTCCGCCTGTCGGGCGTGAGGTTGCGTTTTCTGCCATGCAGGGGAAGAGCGGACAGGCTGCGAAGGAGGAAACTGAAGTGGAGGACCGATGATGGGGACTAGGCCGAGGTTGAAGAATGGCCGAAACGTTGCTGAGCTTTGGAGTGCGGGGTTTGCGTGAGTCCAGGAGAAAGCAGAAGAAGATCGACCGGAACCTCAGGACAGCTTAACTTACGACTTTATCCCTTTCTGCCCTGGTGCCGTGATTTCGAGGAGGCACCAAGGAGTCCAGAGGAACAGAGCCCGGCGAGGTAGGGACTAGTCAGCAGCAGGCAGTGCCGTCTCAGTGCACGTGGTCGCAGGGAGCAAGAACAGCCGGAGCAGCAAGAGCAAGAGGCCGGAACTTAGCTTGGAGCTAGGTTCTAAGTCGTGAGCAGAGTGTCAGCTGCGGCCTGATCTGCTACCAATCAACCTTATCGTCGATCGCATGACATGCTGCAAACCCGACTGTGCGACGATATTAGGTCCCTCGATTTTCGCAGCCCCGGCATATATGTGCTGTTGCTTCAGTTCGGCACCGTCGCTGACAGGAGAAGAAGAAAAAGAAGAGGAAACGGAAGAAAGACAAAGATGGTGCCTTTCACGGACGAGCATCTGCAATATTTTTGCAGCTTCCGCACCCAAAGCTTCAACCCTAAACCCCTACTAAGAAAAAAACCTCCTTCCTGAACCGAGGGAAGAAGGAGGCGAAGGACAAGTCCGAGTGCCGTGAGCACGAGCAGTCCGAGGCGCCATCTTGGAAAGGTTCCTTTTAACTTGAATGGGGGTTTACAGTTTAGGGTTTAGGGTTTAGGGTTCAGTGTACATTGCCGTAATATGTTATATGGGTACCATAACGGGTACAACTACGAGTACGTCCATTGCGCTGTAGCAAGCTGCCGGAGCGAGAGACCTTGGAATTTCTGTTTCCAACGCTGCCCTCTTGAGCGCTGGAGCCCATACGCCTTGAAAGATGTAGCCTCAGCATCACACAAGCTGAACAAGCTCCAATAGGGGTTGTATGGCTATACAGCACACCGTGAGACTCGACTTCTCCAAGAACTGCGACTTTTAGAGACCCTAAAAAACCCTAAACCCTAAACCCTAGACCCTATAAACCCTAAACCCAAAACCCTAAACCCTAAACCCTAAAAAACCCTAAACCCTAAACCCTGAATCAACGGAGCCTCATCCGGGACTTTTGGAGACCCGACTCCGTCGGCTTTTCCAGGAGGCTTTGAAGTCCAGCAAGCCGACCAAGGCACGGGGGGTTCAGGGTTTGGTTTTTTTTTGGGTTTTGGGTTTTTTTGGGGCTTCAGGTGTTGGGGTTTAGGGTTTAGTAAGCCTCGGGTTTTTAGGAGGATCCGCAGCATCGAATTCGTTCCTCATGCTGGCAAGAATCCAGCAGATCCTGGTATCTGCTTCAGGCTGCATTGCTGGAGGCGGGGGCGCCTCGCCCAAAAGCAGCAGCTCTGGCCTGATAGAGTCCATAGACGTGGCTAGAGGTAGAGTCAGGGTTTCGGGGCCATTTTTGGAGTCCTTTTTTAGGGTTTAGGGTTTAGGGTTTAGGGAAACTGCTTTGGGGCTTCAGTTTAGATTCTCCTCGGTTTTTGGACCTGTACTGTTATTGCCCCTGCTACTGCTACGCTGCTGCTACCACGACGGCGCCGGCTACGCTTGCGGCGACGACCAGCCAACGCTTCGACTCCGACCGCCCTGCACCGACTACCGACGACAACTGGGACTACTACTGTGCTACGACTACGACCACGATTACGATTGTGGCTTCTACCACTGCTAGAACTACCCCTCTTTCTACTTCCACCACGACGGCGGCGGCGACGACGACGACTAGTACTGCAGTTACTGCAGTAGTACTACTATTCCTCCTGCAAACAATGCTGCCGATGCATTTCTAGTACTTGTAGCCATGGGTAAACATCCATTCTGGCGTCTTTTGGCGGTTTCGTTATTCTAACACTCTGAGAAATAGCCCGCCGCATCGTCAGTCAGCCCCCGAAGCTACTGAAAACGCTTGTTAGTCTTGAACCTTCAGAAGCCAGAACTACGGCACGAGAGGCTCGCAACGTCGCAGCGAATTCCAAAATTCAAAGACCCAAAGCACGTGCTGAGGAATTGCCTTCCCAACATAACTGCTAGCTGCCGAGTGGCAGTAGTGCTGCACTGCACCTGAGAGCTCCTACACCTCGCGTCAAGTGTTGCGCTGATGCAGTGTTTTCATGATATTACATGATGTGGTAGTATAGTTTGATCTACATAGAGTGATATTTGAGAACGCTATGTTGCAGTCTATGATGTAATGTTGAATCCATGGCAGGAACACTCACTCATCCCCCTGTTGCCCTGTTTCGCTGAGGCCTCTCGGCGCATGATGCTCGGTGCTTTGGACGGACGGCGTGAGGAGGTCGGCCGGTGCCAATTCCAAAACCCCCCGGCCGTAAAGCCTAAACCCTCAATCTGCCAACTGAAAAACCCTAGGATCCTGAACCCTAAACCCTAAACCCTAAACCCTAAACCCTGAACCCTCAACTCTAAAGACTCTAAACCCCTAAACTCCAAATCACGCCAGCTCGGTCAGGCAAAGGGCTCAGCGGACGATGTGAAGACGGAGCCAGGGCCCCTTGAGCTCTTACCAGGGGGGTTGTGAGACTTGAGAGTTCAGGGTCTAAGGTTTAGGGTTTAGGGTTTAGGGTTTAGGGTTTAAGGTTTGGTTTCGCTGTTTCGGCTTGGGGTTTCGGTTTTTGAGCCTTTCGGGTTTAGGATTTGGGGTTAGCCCTACATGATTTGTCCTGGTAGCGGTGTGCGCGAGCAAGGATCGGGGATTTGGCGGTTGTACCTTGATGTTTGCATATAGGGCTGCTTCATGTACTGTACCATGACCATTCGTTGATCTGTCTGCTTGTTTGGTTTCGCATTTTCTGTTGCTGCGCTGCCAATATATTCAGCATAGCAACAGCAATCACAGCAATCAAAGCGGTGTTCAAAATGCCAACCAATTCCGAAACAGCAACAACTACGATCATCCTGATGTCATGCCTACTAAGTCCCTAGCCTATGTTTATGTTATAGGCTTTCTTGCGCGGACCAGCAGACTATTATTCCTCTCTGTGTCCACTAAGACACTCGGTGCAATTATATATCCTACAATATACCACGATATGTACCAGGATGGCTTTCGGATGGTCCTCATCGCCTGGGTTCTTGTTAAGGGATTTAATTTAAGTTACCATTATAGGGATCTATAGTAAATAATATGGTTTCCTTATTATGGTAACTTAAATTAAATCCCTTAACAAGAACCCAGTGAAACGAAGCTCAGAGCCTTTCGTCACCGTCGCTTGCACAGGTCTGCGCCGGAGGATGGCGACCATCAGGACCTGCAGAGAGGTTTTAGGGTTTAGGGTTTAGGGTTTAGGGTTTTTCTTGTTAAGGGATTTAATTTAAGTTACCATAATAAGGAAACCATTTTTTACTATAGATCCCTATTATGGTAACTTAAATTAAATCCCTTAACAAGACCCCAGTTTTAGTTTTCCCGGTTTCCCGACTCCGAAAGCTAGCAGCTGCATTGAAAACCAGGGTGATATCGAGCACGAGCATGCCAAACAGGAGCTGTAGCACGTAACATTGGCAGCAACAGTCAGGGTCCGGGTGACAGCTTTTGCAATAGTACGGCAGTCATATCAACACAAGGTCAGTTTTGACAGCGCCAGCAACAGCAACAGCAAGAACGACATCCGTTATGCTAAGTGCGAGAAACTGCATGTATTATACTAGCAGTGATATTGATGTCAAGATGACCAGAAATCACCGGAATACGACTCCAGAGCCTCGTGCCCTAAACCCTAAATGGCCTAGTCTGCCCATGCTCGCATCGGATTAAGAAACCCGGTGAGCAGGCATCTGCTCGTCTTCTACAGGCTGCGGAAGGTGCCCCCATAGTTTCTGAAGCCTTTCTGTTGGTAGCTTCTGAAGCCATTTTTTTGTTGGGGGGAGGGTTTAGGGTTTGATCTTTTCGGGTTTAGGGTGCTTGTCCTTAGGCCTTGACCTCCGGAGCCCGAAGCCTCCGGACTCTTCAGACCCAGCTCCTGGGGTTCTTCAGAGTGACGTCGGAGTGGCGTATCTGCCTGGGCTTCGAGTTGGGCGTTTGAAGATTGAGTTCACGGTTTGGGACTTCAAGGCACAACCTATGGATACTTTCCCCAGCACGACACCTTGGACCCTCAACTCTAAACCTTGACCGTGCCAGCCCTAACTTCCTGGATCCTGCCTGCTGCCTCCCCCCCTCTCAGAAAACCCTAGACTCCAGACCTTATATCCCGAACCCAACACCCAAAAAACTTCCCCAAGATCCTGGCCAGGTGTTAGAGAGTCAGGTCCGAAGGAATCGACGGAACCGAAGGAGGAGAAGGCACTCCAAAGAACGAAAGGGGCGATTCGGAACGAAAGCCCAGTGTCAAATGCTAGATCCATTACGCCACAAGCGTACACTGTTCGAGTTTGGATTTTCGGGATTCGGCTTGGGGCTTGCGGGTTTGGGACGCTTCGGGGTTGAGGGGACTAAGGGTCTGAGAACAGCTCAGGCCAGCAACCTGCCAAGGGGGTGGGGCTATGAAGCCAAGCTGCTGTGCCAGGATGATTGCCTTCCTAAGACGTTGCTCCAAACTTGACAGTCGGTCCTCGCACAGCGAGCTGTAGAGCTGTTTCGACCTCACTTAAGTTACACGTTTATCTAGTTATATATATATATATATATATTCACATATATATGTATGTATATATATATATATATATATATAATATATATATATATATATATATGCATATATGTATATACACATACATACACACACTCGAAACATGGGGGTGTTGTGGTGCAACATGCACCTTCTCGGGACGGCAGGGCTCCGAGTTGGCCAAGTCTGAGGATGAGAAGCCGGCCTCCAGCAAGGCCTCTTCGAGCTTCGGGTCTTCTGCTTTTTATCGTATTCGGCCTTTTTTCTGGTCAGTTCTTCTTGAGGTTTCATGAAAATGAGGGTAGGTGCCTGGATAACGGACAGAACCAGCCAGTGAGGACCAGTCATCAAGAGTTGCGAAGTCGAGCTCAGAAAGAATCACTAAAGACCCATACTGTGCCGGTCTTTGTAAGCCTCTTGTCAGATGCCGGCTTGAGCAAGCGGTCTCCCTAGACCCTCGACGAAGTTCAGCACCTGTCTCCAGAACTCATCTGGCTGCGAATGAGCAAGTATCGACCGGCAGCCGTTAGGCCCAAGACGCTCCGGAAGGTCTTCCCTTGAGTGGCCCAATAGGCCCATGGGGTGCAGTGGAAGCGGCAGCCGGAGCGTGGAACCCCGCGATGCAGTGCTCTTTGTGCCGAAGTCTCTTTCGATGTCTCCGAGCCGAGCATTACCACCCGATCACACTACGCACCGACGGTATGTCCAGAAGCTCAACCGGTACCTCATCGATGTGGCCAAGAACCCTGATGCTTTCCAGAGGAAGGTGAAGGGGCGCCGTGAAGCAAGCATCCGGGAACTGTGGCAAGAGAGCTCTGGCTGCTCGTTGGCTGTCCATTGGCATGTGGCTGCCTGTAAACACCGCTTGATCACACCTTTCATGCTAGGGCTTGCTTCTTGTTTCCCGTTCTAGCCAGGCCCCGGTCGCGGCCTTTGGCCAACTGTACAGCTAGGCGCTGATAAGGTTGATGGACAAAATCCTGCATGACCTTATATACCTAAACTATGGGATTTATGGTACTATACTATATTTGGGTCATGCAGAATTTTGTCCATGAACAGTAGAAGCAGTGTCCTACGTTCCATATGTTCCAAGGGGCCGTGTGATGGAATCACTCCCCGATATGGGAGTTTCAGAAAATGAGGGGTACCTTACTTTGGGGTCCTTATAATAGGGATCCTATTTTTTAGGGTACCTTATTTGGGGGTCCTTATCATAAGGATCCTATTA